TACAAAAAAAATCCGAGCCCCAGATGGGACTTGAACCCACGACCCTCCGTGATCTAGTCGGATGCTCTAACCACTGAGCTACTGGAGACTCTATGGTGAGCAAGGGTCAATTTGTGGGCCTCGACTGGAACCGCATCGCGCGGCTACACAGCCAAGTATTGGTAAGCACCTGTGAAAACTCACTAACAGCATCACGCTGTCACATTAAGGCATATCAAGATGCGGCCAACCAACCTCCAAAGGTTGATAAATTGATTGATTCGGATAATTGAAATTTATTAGGAAGGAATAAAAGATAAGATTTTAACTCTCATCAAAGTTTTCATCCGGTCAGTAACAGTGAGGAATTTCTTAGAAAGGTAAGCAAAGAAACTTTGGGTTTATCTTACTGTGCACAAGAGTCTGGACACGAAAATAATGAATAGGAGGGCAGGGGGAGGGGGATAGTTAATAAGCGTCTTTAATCAACTATTTGTAATACCTACAAACTGACAGGAAAGATAAAAGATTTAAGGCGAATCAAATACAACGAAGACGCAAAAAGGGAGTAATTTCTTATGTTTCATCGTTTTGCCACAAAAGTGCAACGAAGAAAACAATTTGAGTCCTCACCAGAACTTCAGACATTCGGATTCTGAGTGCCGACACTCTACCACTAAAAGAATAATAAGCAATTATTGGATGAAGTTACGCATGATATCATAAATTATCAATGCCGAGGTCTGATAATTCATGACATCATGCGAAAATCGAATTCCTGAACAATTACTTTGGCATCCATTTTTATAGCATGACGCAAAAGAGCACACCTCTGAATTTGCAAAAGGTTAAGAGCACTGCGCGGACGAGGTGCTTCGGAACTAGGCTGATTTTGAACTCGACCTGATAACTCAATATCTACAGCAGATATTGGGTAATCATGTCAACTTCACAAGCTATTATTTATTGACTATATGCTCTCCACTAAACAGAGTTATCATGGTAAGTCTTATGTATAATAATATAGGTTAAAAAAACGTGAGCTTAGTGTGAACTTTCTTCACTTGCTAATTTATAATACCTGCAAGCTTTCTACGTTTATTTTCTGAAGAATCATCACTTTTACAACTCTCCTCTCTCACTGGATTGTCTGCAAAAGGGAAAACAACGTCAATCTATAAAAAAAAATTGAATTTAAGAAATGGGTAACAGGCAGGAGTCGAAATAAGTGCTGAGAGAAAATGAAAATCCCATGTAAGCCCGCTCATGGAATATAAGAGAGAAGAGAAACTGATGGACTTGAACAAATGAAATTTTTAAAGTGGGGATCAAAGGTAAGATTTAAATCTCATCAAACTTTTAAACCGGTCAGTACCGGTGAGGAATTTCCTAATTTGGGTCATCTTACTGCGCACAAGAGACTGGACACGAAAAGAAAAAAATAGGAGGGCAGGGGGAGGAGGGTAGTTGATGAGCGTGTTTAGTCAACGATTTGTAATACCTACAAACTAAGACGACGGGGAGATTTATTACAGGTGCAAGGAGTTAGTATGGATCTTGAATGTGATTTAGTGACAATAGAAACAATGGGAGCAGAGAAGCAGTCAGGATAATCGCAGTCCGAATAATCAAGGTGTGACTGTATACCACTGATCTAATTATTCTATAGATACCCCACTTTCGTAAAACCTTTTTCCATAATCCCTCTACCAAAATCGCGACTGGCTAAAGCTATTTGCTCATTTTTCTTATTAAACTTATCTTTTTATCAACATCTCAAGCAACATTTGATTTAAACTTTTTCTCATGTTCCACTCAGTCTCCTCCAGAACGAAGGATAAGCACAGTCGTACAACGATGACAACTCCACTGCTTTCCCAACACGACCAATATACGTTTCATTCATTCGCGAACCGCCCGCCCTCTACGAGTCACGCGTTGATTCGCTGAAATTTGAAGACCTGTCAAACCACAAATTACCATGAACGCTCTAATTGGTAAACATACAAAATACTACAATCTGATTGGTTTGCGATACACCAAAAAAATGCGCCCATCACATTGCTTTGTGGTACACCAAAACAAAAACTGCGCCAATCAGATTGCTCCCGGTTACACCAAACATTGCGCCAATCGGATTGCTTTGAGACACACGAAAAACACACCGCTCTATACGCTAACATAGACTTATTTTTCTTGAAAAAAAATTTCCTGTAAGTTTTATGATGCACCTATCACTCTTACTGAGATATTTCTGCGAGGCAAACTTCTGTTTGAAATCGCGCACAATTCTGAAATGATTGCGAGATGTTTATTGCTTTCTGCTGTCTCCCACTAATAGTGTTACAGCAAGTTCTTGTAGTGTCACGACCTGTCACGGCAAGAACTGAGAAGATTATAGTGTCACAGCAAGTCCTTGTAGTGTCCCGACCTGTCATGGCAAGAACTGAGAAGATTATAGTGTCACAGCAAGCCCTTGTAGTGTCCCGACCTGTCACGGCAAGAACTGAGAAGATTATAGTGTCACAGCAAGTCCTTGTAGTGTCACGACCTGTCACGACAAGAACTGAGAAGATTATACCTTCGGATTTCCATAGTTCGCTGATTTAAACAGTAAAAAGCGCTCTCTTTAAAGAAAAAATACATATTCCTTAAAAAAATCTCTTCTTGTGCACCGATCTAACCTCATAAGATATTTCTGCCAGAAAAACTATTGTTTTTAAAATCGACCGCAATCCCGAAATGGCTAAAAGTTAGAAATCACAAAAGGAACGAAATGAACTGTGTATAGAGTGCGAATGTCCAATTACCAAGATACTCCGGAAAAAAACAACAATAAGTTGGTAACATCGGGTCAAATTGGGTCAAGATCAGAATTCTATTGTTACACTCACTCACAGTACTCTCTCATTCACTCATCGCGACAACATATGTTTTTCCCCTAATTTATTTTTATACCACTAATTTGGCATTACCCCTCATGTATCTGATCTGTCCCCGCATCTGTCTCTGTCCGATTATGTGTCGCCGACTCTGTTTTCAATTCAGTTCTCTCAGAACGCAAATGTACTTTGTGATATCTTATAATTGTTTGAATTCCTTCCATTTTTACATTTACAACATCCCTATTCTCGAGCGCTTTATGATCGCCTCGTTGGATGGGGTATTGCCATGTCCTCCGTTATGCCCCGTTCTTCTCCGACTCATGTAGATGACTTGGGCGTATCCCTTTTTGCTGAGATTCGAAACTAGTTAATCAAAAAGACCTACTCCTTCCATATCGGTACCCGGGTAACGTTTTACGAAGTAGGTGTCGAGAGCTCAGATTGGCTGTAATTAACCGATCTCAATTTTCAAGGCTCACGGAATGTGCAACATTTCGTAAGCTAACACATGTTCTTCTGTATTTTAAAATGCAAGATAAAAAGCTTGGATTCCTTATTTTGTGCTTCGCAACCCGTGAGGTAAATTCAATTTTGCAAATCTAAAACAAGTTGTAACTGCCATGGATCTGAGCGTAAATCTCGTGTAAGCTGAAAATTATTTTTCACTGATTTTATTGCCAGGAAACACTCTGTAATACCTCCCAAATGACAAGTTCTTTGCCCAGTCATTCGCACTCGATCTTCCAAGGTTTGAGAAGTACACGATATTCATGTAACTTCTATAAACTATCCTCTGCGCCATCTTGCTGGGGTCTTTTCTATAACCTTCTTTATTTAAAAGACCTCCAAGCGTCAAGAGCTGAAAGTAGGATCGAGAGCTACTCACAACTGCACCGTATAAAACTAGGTCAGTTAATACGAATCATATCGTCAGTTTTGCGCACAATAAAGGGGAAATTTTCATTTTCAAATTAACATACGCCTTTCTTATTTTAAGCAAGTGGTAAAGTACTTTGCGGACGAGCCTCGTAATTAAATTTCGCATGATTGCGTGGCGTGACTATATTCATGAAGGTTCTAAGCGAATCCTTTCAGTCCTTAAGTTTTGAAAAATCGATGAAAATAACATTCCACCCGGTTTATTATGTGTGTTGTCGAAAATACATTATTTTTTACCTTTTTTTCATCTAGCTGGAAGATGGTCGGATAAATTCAATTAGATTGTGTAAATAAAAAATCAAGAATTGCTCAAATTGCTGTCAACCTGTGTTTTAATGTTTTTTTTCCAAGTTTTGGTACTTTTTATCGGTCCAAGTGTTTTCAATTCGTGGCGCGACGCTCCGAGATTTGCTTGAAATTTTGAGCTTCTAAAGCCGCATTTTAGCGGAATTCAGTTATTATCGACTTCCTCTAAAATAAATCGATATTTAGCCAAATGAAGTATACAGTGGTTTGTTCTACTGTAAGGCCCACCTTGAAAAGTGAGCTGAATCGATTTTTTGGCTGTTGCCACGATATTTCGAAAATGTTCGATTTTTGGTCACATTTCCTCTTAAAGGATTAAAACACAAATTAATCAACACTCTGACTATAATAGCAATTTACAATACAAGCCCGTAAAAATTAATCACGGGAGTAGCGAGAGCGTTTTAAACAAAGGGTCACAAGCGAAAAAGATAAACAAAAGCCAGCAAGTTAATTAACTAGAATCTTTGGCTCTTACTAAGGTCTTTACAATACTAGCAGATAAGGTAAGTATGTAATCGTGGCTCACCACGATTTAATACAACGACAACTTCAAACTTAAATGGATTGAGCAGAAAAATGACAAAATAGCAATAGCTATAAACCTACATAAATAAGGAATAGAACTTCCTTTTATGAGGCCGATTTGTTCAAAGCTTACAGAAAAAACGGTGTAAGTTTTGGGTTGTTTTGATGCGCGCGGAAGTAAATATGGCGGTCACCTCTACTCTTCCCGAATTGTATTTCGCGAAATTACAGACAAACATTTTCAAAAGACAGCACACTGTTAAATTCACAATATAAAGGACAAAGCTTGTACACTCACGGAAAATTGGTCTATAATAACCCACTAGGAGCCTGTAATGGCATTTTCTTTGTTAGCTCCTATTATTGTCCTCGAGCTCGACTGAGCAAACTTAGTGAAGCGCTTCCAATATTGCTATGTGACGTCATATTAGCAGTGATCATTTGACGGCGGCTTATACCAAAAGAACGATAGAGCCACCCCTCCCTCCTGGGTGAAGAAGATAATTACATGTACACAAAATATCATTAAAAACACACACTTCATTTACTAGGTGTAATGTAAAACATTGTACCTTGTGTGGAATGAAGGCTAACATAGTGTACTTCATGGATGTGTCCCAACACAAGTGTCCTGCTTTTGTCAACAGGACATTGTGGTCGTACGATAACTTCGGGAGCTGCGGAAAGACTGCTGACCACACGAATGCAAGTTTGGTAGCAGTTTGCAGCGGTTTGTAGAATAACATGGTCACCCCAAGCACCATCTTGCTCCATGTACGTTAAGTAATCAGTCCATGATTGATGTCCATGGACGAAGTTAAACAGATTTGTTCCATTCGGCTGTGAGAATAGCAAAATAGAGAACGAAACTTCGAGTGTAATGTTAATGGTACACTGGACCGGTTTGAATACGTTGGAAGGAGTCATCGAATGAGAATAAAACAAAGAGATACTAAACAACAGTGAGAACGGATAATAACCAATCAATAATGAATACAAGGATCTACATTGGATGTAGCAGTCTCGACTCCTGAATTTGCCCTTCTGAAACATCGAATATCTAGTGTCCACCTTATCCAGAGTCAAGGTTATCCAATTAGGATTGTTCCGTCTGAGGGTGATTTAAGGGCAAAGTACTTTCAAAAATCCTTGGGTTGGCCGCTTTCTCCACAAGACAAAGCCCTTTTAATTTTTACAAGGAGGTCTGAGTTCATCCGTGACCCGGACATGGTCTCTACTAAAACTCTTGAACAACACAGCGTGTTTTTACGAGCAATCCAGAAATATTAAACAATTCTTCTCCGAAATAAAGGTGAATAGGGGTGGGTATTCATCTAGGCAGAGGCAAGCTAATTACCCACCACTTTCACCGATACTGAGGTAGAAACTTATTTACGTATATACATGTACTAGAAGGCGGTGAATGGTACTTGCTAATCACTTACTAGTGAGCGTCCGGTGTGGTTTATACACCGAATGCAAATATGGCGTCCAATTTGAATTGCCATTGTTCTGGACTCACTACCCTCGTCTTCACATGGAAATACAAAAGGATTACTACATGTGTGAGAGGCTTGCGAGTCCAGAACAATGGCACCTCAAATTGGACGCCATATTTGCTTTCGGTGTTTACTAAACGCTGATTTCAGAGTATTTGCAATCCTTATTATCCCCTACAGGAGGAGTAGTGATGTGTTGGCCAGTTGGCCCGGTCACATATGGATCTAACCTTTATGGTGCTCCTAAAGTAACAGTGGTTAACACAGAGTGTAAGACATCAACTTACTAGTTTAGGGTTTTTTCTGAGGTACTGGACCAATATTTGTCTTAATTCGTCATGCTTGATTTTGATTCCCATAGCAATTTCCAGTTGATCTGACAAAGCATGGAACATGCAATTCCCTAATCCTTCATTGTCAAAAATTCTGAAGCCCTTGTCAGAAGCAATTTTCTTCAACTCAATTTTTAGGTCTGTCTTGTCATTGACTTTGCTTGCATCGAGTTGCATCTGCTGAAGCTGACCAATAAACTCAACAGAACCTAAGTGAACAAACGGATGAATGAACAGAAGATAAATACCACCATGCCTGTTCACATATATGACTTTATATTTATTTAGAGTCTTTTAGAAATTATTGTGTAGGTTCATTTAATAAGCTGGGGGGTGGAGGTAGAGGGGGGAAGGGCGGGGTACGGCCAACAACTTGAATCACTCTGTAGGATTTCTTTCTTACCAGTCCCACCAGAGCCAACACTGTCAATACCTCATCAGTATCAGATTGGGAGTCTTCCGAAAGATCAAGATGGCAGTCCTTGTGACTGATCATTTCAAACTGTCAATACAGTTTTTAAAAATCATTCAGGAGGGTAATATACGTAGCAAGAGCTATTTGGGTGCTTCCGGAGAATTTCCTAGCTCTTGAAAAGCATGCAAAACGTTTAGAACACATTGAATCATAGGCAATTTCAAGACATTAAAGTATTCTATTTTAAAATTAGAGCTAATTAACCAAGCTTTCTTGAGCCTGAGCTGAAAGAATTGGACACCCAAAGTATAGACCAAGTGTAGCGGGTTTCTGTTCGACAGGGACCAGGCGCTTAGGAACTAGCCTGACTTCGAACTCGATCTGATAACCCAATATCTGCTGCAGATATTGGGTTATCATGTCAACTTCACACGCTATTGTTTATTGACTATATGCTCTCCACTAATCAAAGTTTTCATAGTAAGTCTGATGTACAATAATATTGGTTAAAAAAAACGTGAGCTTAGTATGAACTTTCTTTACTTGCTAATTATAGTACCTGCTAGCTCTCCACGTTTACTTTCTGAAGGATCATCACTTTTACAACTCTCCTCTCCCACTGGATTGTCTGCAAAAGGGAAAACAACCTCAAACTGTAGTGAAAATTGAATTTATGGGGTAACAGGGGTAACAGGCAGGAGTGGAAATAAGTGCTGAGAGGAAATGAAACTCACATGTGAGCCCGCTCATGGAATATAAGAGAGAAGAGAAACTGATGGACTTGGATACTTAAAATATATAAGCTGGGAATAAAAGATAAGATTTAAATCCCATCAAACTTTTAAATCGGTCAGTACTGGTGAGAAATTTCGTATTTTGGGTTATTTTACTGCGCACAAGAGACTGGACACGAAAAGAAAAAAATCGGAGGGCAGGGGGAGGGGGGTAGTTGATGAGCGTGTTTAGTCAATGATTTGTAATACCTACAAACTAAGACGACAGGGAGCTTTATTACAGGTGCAAAGAGTTAGTATGCATCTTGAATGTGATTTATTAACAATAGAAACAATGGGATCAGAGAGGCAGTCCAGACATATAATCGAGGTCCAAATAATCAAGGTGTGACTGTATAGCAAAGATCTAATTATTCTACAGATACCCCACTTTGGTAAAACCTTTTTCCATAATCCCTCCACTAAAATCATGACTCGCTAAAACTACTTGCTCACACTTTTTCCATGTTAAGTTTATGAATAATTATAAATAAAAATAAAACAAAACCCAAAGAAAACAACCAATTTTTAAGCAACGATGGCAGGTCACTGGCACCGGGTTAAGTATTTAAAAACAAAAAAAAACAAAACAAAACAATCAAACAGACAAACAAAAGCTAAACAAATGTAGATAATTCAATCTACGAACAGTGAAACTACATAAGACTGAGGCAGACTATTATCCCGTAAATAAATCACTTGTAGCATTGTCAGGACTTACACAGTCAACAATTTAAGCTATTCAATGTGACAATTATTTCTGTCTTGATCACAACTATACAAAGTCAAACTAATATTGATAAAAAAAATAATTACCATTTCTATAACAAATTTTTTCTGCCAAGTCTTTACGCCGCACGAAATCATGCTGTAATGCCACATTCAAAGTTTCGTAAGTTGCTGCAGAACCATACTTCTGTTTCCAGTCCATTAACATGTGTTATCCTCTCTCACACAGCTGCCTGTATCTTTGTTCTATATCCTGTAGTTCTGGCTCCTTGAACCCCAGGAGACGCCCGAGTTGAATCCACTTTTCACCAATTTCGTTGCCTAATTCTTCTAATTCATCAACTGTTGGTGAGCCTTGTTTTACTAAAAAAGAAATAACGTTTAGAGTTCGACTTGTCAATACCGGGTTTCGCAAACAAGATTACCCAATCACACACGGGAAATGAACATTAATTCCTATTTCATTCAGTTGTGCTAATCAGCTCTTAAAACCAAAGCAATCAAAGATGATAAAGAATAGATCTTATGCACACTGACTTCATAAACTGAAGACTCAACCCAAGCCTCTTTTGTGAGTGACATCACGGTTCTTCCATTTTTATATCAAGTTCACATTGACAAATTTCGGATCCATGCAACAAAATGATGTTAAAACTCTTTTTGTCCAATGAAAGTAGACTAAAAATGTTTTGCAAAATTTTAAAGGCACCCTTGTCTCTTTAGCAAAACTATAGTTAAAAATACTGGGAAAATATCCTCAAGGCTTCTCAAATGAGCAGGAGTAGCTCATTCTTTTGCACCCATTCCTGAAAAATATGTCTGACAATAACCTGCCATGTCCACAGATGTAACTTTAGGTTTTTTAGGATCTTGGTTACTGTAGCCAGATGACATTCTCCTCTTTCTTTTTCCTGAAAAATAAAAGGGCATTTCATTTTCTAAATTTACCCTTTTTACTCTTGTGTATGAACAAAAAGAGATACCTTACGATATCCAAAAGGGTTTAAGATAAAATTATGCCAAAGGGTAGATTTCAGTAAATTTTCTTCTTATTGAAATTATCTTTATTTTTGCAATGGCCCCCAGGTTGATAGAGAATCGTACATGTATCCGTACAAATTTGTTTTGCGGTCACCATTGCACTTTGCATGTACTTCAAGGGAAAATGAGGCCACAATTTCAATTGGCGATATGTAGCAGTTTTTAATTGGCGTAAAGCAATGTGGTGAACATAGCCTGAGAACAAGGTTGAGTTTTGGCATCGAATGTCAGTCAGGCTTGAAGTGCTGGGCCGCGCATAACGATAACCAGGCTTGTTACAGTTTAAACTTATTTATCAAGTGAACTTAAAAATATTTAATTAAAGCACAAACTTAATATGATACGCACCACCGTGGAACAGTAAAAGTCCATTGGCTGACTGTCCAAATTCGATTAATTAATTCAATTATCTCATGGAAACATTGGCAATTGGAACTATCAATAGATTACTAAAGCAGACGAAAGCACTATACTTTTCTGAAAAATTAAAGAAGACCTGTGAAAGTCATTGCCAGATATCTTTAATTTCAATCAGTCAAAAAAACTTGCGGTCCATAAAATACCTTCTGTGATATATCGTTCCGAGGCAAAATACTTCAAAGGTTTAATATCACAAGTAAGCGGGAGAAATACTTGTAAACAAAGATCATCGAGTTCAAATGCAAATGTTTACCGAGCGACTGTGAGGCGAAACTAGACATGCAAATGGAAAATACGGGAATTTGGGTCGTGCAGGGAGAGAAAAATTTGAACCGCAGCGTCAAAATTGAATGAATTTTGAAAACGGAAATTTGATAAACGAAAGATTTCATTTGGTACAGGTTTTGTAGAATTGAAGGTAAGATTTAACTTTCATCAAACTTTTAAAACGGTCAGTACCGGTGAGGAATTTCCTAATTTGGGTCATCTTACTGTGCGCAAGAGACAGGACACGAAAAGAAAAAAATAGGAGAGCAGGTAGAGGAGGGTAGTTGATGAGCTTGTTTAGTCAACGATTTGTAATATCTACAAACTAAGACGACAGGGAACTTTGTTACAGATGCAAAGAGTTAGTATGGATCTTGAATGAGATTTATCAACAATAGAAACAACGGGATCAGAGAAGCAGTCCGGATAATCGAGGTCCGAATAATCAAGGTGCGACTGTATAGCACAGATCTGTATAGCACAGATCTAATTGTTCTGCAGGTACCCCACTTTCGTAAAATCTTTTTCCCTAATCCCTCCACCAAAATCGTGACTGGCTAAAACCATTTGCTCACAATTTTTCCATGTTAAATTTATCTTTTTATCAACATCTAAAGCAATATTTGATATAAACTTTTTCTCATGTTTCTCTCAGTCTCCTCCAGAACGAAGGATGACCATAGTCGTACAAAGATGACAACTCCACTGCTTTCCCAACACGACCAATACGTTTCCTTAATTCGCGAACCGCCCTCCCTGAGTCACGCATTGATTCGCTGAAATTTACAGACCTGTCAAACCACAAATTACCAAGAACGCTCTAATTGGTGTAACACACAACATACTAAAATCTAATTGATTTGTGATACACCAAAATAGAAAATGCACCAATCAGATTGCTCTCAGGTACCCCAAAAATTGCGCCAATCGGATTGCTTAGAGATACACGAAAAACACATCGCTCTATACGCTAAAACAGTGTTAATTTTCTTAAAAAAGATTTTTCTCCGTAAGTTTTATGATGCACCTATCACACCTACTAAGATATTTCTACAAGGCGAACTTCTGTTTGAAATCGCACACAATTCTGAAATGATTGTGAGATGTTTATTGCTTTTTGCTGTCTTCCATTAATAGTATCACGGCAAGTCCTTGTAGTGTCACGACCTGTTACGGGAAGAACTGAAAAGATTATACCTTCGGATCTAGATAATTCGCTGATTTAAACGGTAAAAAGCGCTCTCTGCGCACACACAATATGACTTTCTTTGTCAATAGGCCAGCCAGGGCCATCGGTTATCGTCACTTTAGGTTCCAGAGGAATATGAGAACTCTTCTTTGAGGTTTTAGAAATGATTTTGGAAATTTTCGCTCAGATTGTCTTTAAGACGTCCGCGTGGTTGCAGGAAACGCAAAGCAATGATCTGTGCAGGCGCAATGCTATCTGACAAGGTAGAACTAGCACTTTATTTTCTAAGTGTAATGTAAAGTTGTACCTTGTGTGGAATGAAGGCTAACATAGTGTACTTCATGGATGTGTCCCAACACAAGTGTCCTGCTTTTGTCAACAGGACATTGTGGCCGTACGATAACTTCGGGAGCTGCAGAAAGACTGCTGACCACACGAATGCAAGTTTTGTAGCAGTTTGCTGCGGCACATAGAATAACATGGTCACCCCAAGCGCCATCTTGCTCCATGTACGTTAAGTAATCAGCCCATGATTGATGTCCATGGACGAAATTAAACAGATTTGTTTCATCCGGCTGTGAGAACAGCAAAATAGAGAACGAAACTTTAGTGCAAAGTTAATGGTACACTGGACCAGGCTGAGTACGTTGGAAGGAGTCATCGAATGAGTAAATAACAAAGAGATACTAAACAACAGTAAAAAAGGATAATAACCAATCAGAGTAATGAACACAAGGATCTACACTGGATGCAGCAGTCTCAACTCCTAAATTTTGCCTCCTGAAACATCGAATATCTTGTGTCCACCTTATCCAGAGTTAAAGTTATCCAATTAGGACTGTCCCGTCTGGGGGAGATTCAAGTGCGTAGTACTTTTTCAAAACATTGGGTTGGCCGCTTTCTCAACAAGGCAAAGCCCTTTAACTTTCACAAGGAAGTCTGAATTCATCAGTGAGCCGGACATGGTCTCTGCTAACACACTTGAACTACACAGCGCGTTTTTTACGAGCAATCCAGAAATATTAAACAATTATTCTCCTAAGTAAACGTGAATAGGCGTGGGTATTTACCGAGGTAAAGAGGCAAAGTAATTATCCACCACTTTCACCGACACTGAGGTAGAAAATTATATACGTATATACCAGAAGGCGGTGAATGGTTAACAACTATTCACCAAAGTGGAGGTGGTTAGTGGTGGATATTTACCGAGCTGCGAAGCGGCGAGGTAAATATCCACCGCTAACCACCGACACTGAGGTGAATAGTTGTTTTAGTATATACTAAAGCAGTGAGATAATATACACCACCGTCGTGAATTTGAGTGATTACTTCGCTTGTCACGGATGCAAACCGGGACGCCATTTTTCCCGAGTTGCTCAGTGGTAAATAGCAAAGGATATTCGGAGTTTGACTAGCCAATCAGAGCGCGCCTTCAACGCTATCCACTGTTTTAGTGTATACTAATACTTGCTACTCACTTACCAATGAGCGCACGGTGTGGTTTATATTAAACGCTAATGTCAGAGTATTTATGATCCTCATCATCCCCTACAGGAGAAGTAGTGATGTGTTGACCAGTTGGCCCTCATGTCGATCCAACCTTTATGGTGCTCCTAAAGTAACAGTGGTTGACATAGAGTGTAAGACATCAACTTACTAGTTTCGGGTTTTTTCTGAGGTACTGGACCAGTCTTTGTCTTAATTCGTCATGTTTGATTTTGATTCTCATGGCAATTTCCAGTTGATCTGACAAAGCATAGAACATGCAATTTCCTGATCCTCCGTTGTCAACAATTCTAAAGCCCTTGTCTGCAGCAGTTTTCTTCATCTCAGTTTTTAGGTCTGTCTTCTCGTTGACTTTACTTGCATCGAGTTGCATCAGCTGAAGCTGAGCAATAAACTCAACAGAACCTAAGTGGACAAACGGATAAATAAACAGAGGATAAATGCCATCATGCCCGTGATTTAAGGAGGACCAAAACAGAAGAATACCACATTATAAATACTTTTTCTCTAGGTTTCTACGAGTTCTTAATAATAAGTTTCTTTGATATATAGAGGAACTTTATAGAAAAGGAAGTAAAAAGGAATTCTTAACAGCCAACTGAGCCTTCTATTTAAGAAAGAAAACGAAAAACTTTCACATCCTAATTTAAAGTACTTCAGCTTGGTTTTCACGTAAAATGGGGTCAAAATGGCAAATATTACTTAAAATAACTAGATAACTCTCCGTAACTCGTCCAGATCAGAAATTCATAGAAACCAAATTTTGTTATACACGACTAGCGTTTGAACACAGCTCACGTGATCACAATTTAAATCAATCAAGAGTTTTACCTTGCATTCCACACCGATTCATTTTAATTACTAATATGTCATGATCAACAGTGTCGAATGCCTTTTTATAGTCGAGAAACGCTACGGCATTGACGTAGTCAGGATCGATATTAAACGCCCAACTGTCAGTGGCTTCTAGAAGTGCAGTAACAGTTGAGTGTAGAGACCGGAAACCAGATTGTTGTTTAGAGATGATTTCTTCACTATTTAAAAAGTTGTATCACTGATCGCACACACTCCTCTCGAACAACAATTTGGCCACTACGGAAATGACTGAGATACCTCGGTAGTTGTTTAAATCAGATGAATCGCACTTTTCAAACAACGGAGTCACTCTGACACATTTCCAGTAGCCAGGAAATAAACCAGACATCAGAAATTTATTAAACAGATCGTATAACGGGCCTGAAATAAAATCAGCACACTCACGAATCAACCAAACAGAGATATTATCTAGTCCCGTACCTTTAGTTTTTGAAAGTCTATTTAGATGGGTAAAGACATCACTGGTAGTAGCTGGACGAAAACAAAATTTGTTGTAACTTTCAGTAATATTTTTACATAAATATACTCCTCGTCCGAAGTTAAGGGTATTTCACCAACTAGTCTGGGCCCAATAGTTGAATACTGTTCGTTAAAGGCGTCGGAAATCTCGTTAGAGTTACAGATAGAGATGTGATTTACTTTCACATCCCTTACTATCTGATTGTTCTGATGTCGAGACATGAGGTTGTTTATCGTTTTCCGAGTCATTCGAGCATTTCTCTCGGATTGAAAAAACTATTGTGATAATAGGATGCCTTAGTGGTTTTCTCTTCATTGTTGATTTGATTTTGGAGCTTTCTGTAATTGCCCCAGTCTTGGGGACTCTTTGTTTTTATTGCTTTCCCTTTACCTACATCGCGCCAGCGCATACCTCTCTTCAAGGCTGAATTAATCTGGGGCGTTTAGTTCAATTTATTACGTCTAGTTCGAAGAGGAACATGCGAGTTAACACCGCGCAAAAGTTTTGTTTTCCAATCAGACCATGCTAAATTTGGATCTTCTGATTCATTGAACGACCACTCTTGAGAGATTTCATTTCGAAAATTTTCACCATCAAAATGTCGATTACAGTTTACGTCACCGAACAAATAGTACTCTAAGTCGAGAGGATCCAACTTGCCATGTAATACCACCGGTGGCCTGATTATCAAATTAATAAGGATTAATAAGGATCTTCCTTCCTTCTGATCGCATTTTTAAAAATTTTTAACAGACTGAAGAAGACTTGAATAAATGACCTTCAAACGCGCAAGAAGGAAAAAAACCAACAAGAAAAAAAGTCGCACTTAGAACTTACAAGTATGATCAAGAGGAAAATCACTGATCGCGATAGAAACAATTTTAAACGTCGACGCGTAATTTCAGATAACACAAATTTTGGCTCAAAATGATTTAGCGAGATTCATGCTAAGCAGATTACACTGCGAAAACAGTTTTTAAATCGTCACCTAGACAAATCTCGACGTCCTTGGCTGTTTTGACAGAGTGATAAATTAGGGTGTAATCAGCATAGAGGATGATTATGCAGTGTCTGAAACAATGAACAGTAGTGGCCAAGCTATGCTACCTTGGGGTACTCCAACTGAGATAGGCTTAGGACACCAGAGACAATTGCCAATAGAGACGACCTGTTCACGCGCAGAAAGATATGACTTAAACCAATCCATGTAATTGTTATCCAGATCTAGAGATTTCAGTTTCTTGAGCAAAAACTGGTGGTGAACAGTATCGAAGGCCTTGCTGAGGTCGAGGAACACCAACAAGCCGGTTGTCCATGTTATCTAGAATGTTCTCAGTCAGATGAGTGAGGGCCATCTCAAATGGAAGGTTTGGACGAGAACCAAATTGTTTGGGAGCAAGGAGTTTGTTCGCTTTGAGGAAAGTATAAAGCTGTGTGTGAACGGTTTTTTCGATGATCTTGCCTATAATTGGTAGATTTGTAATTGGTCTGTCATTACTTGCGTTAGTTCGGTCGCCAGACTTCAATATTGGAACCACCTTTCCCGTTTCCACATAGACGGGAAAAACTGTTGACAAGAGTGATCTGTTGAACAAAAGGCAGGGTGTGATGAGTCGAGAATTTATCTTGTCCAGTCTAATTGCTCTCAGTTTTCAGCGAGTCGAGGTATTTTCTTACAAAAAGTGTTCTTTTTATCTCAGAAAATGTGAAGACAGATGATGGCGTAGTTTCACACGTAGAGAGTTGCACTTATTTTTAACGCGTTGGTTAGTTTCGATGTAAAGTAGTTGTTAAGGACATTCGCAATTGGTTGAGGTTTGTCAGTTCTACAAACCTTCGTCAAATGAGATACACGCGGCTGCGCTACCAGATTTGCTATCACGAGAGGTTTATATTATTCATTCAGGGTTTTCCAGAGACTAGTACTATTTCCTTTATTGTTGCTTAATAGCAGACGGACGCGTCTTTTTTCACAGCTTCATTTTTCTTACACCTGAGTTTACGGTATGCGGCGAGTATGCGGACAGTTGAGCTGGAGATTTGGACTTTACTGCGCATGCTTTCTTGCGAACATGATCTTTATCTTGCATCAGGTTAGAGAGTTCGGCAGTCATCCAGACTAAGATCACGAAGAACAAGAGCGCCACTCTTACATTAAACTCGACGCTGACGTTTCTTCATAATAGTTCAAGTCTTTTCCTTTAAAGGGACACTTCCTCTTTGGCCTGAATACATATGTACGCCAGATCAAGTTTTGATTCGAGTTTTCATATCTCATTATAGCTGTTTTCTCTCACTCTTCCCAATCACTCATCAGCGGCGGGCTTCAGACTCAAGAATAACTCATCCATTTTGGACAAGAACATTTTATTTTCTTCTTCCTCTAAGTTTATTCATTGTTTAAATATAGTTAAAGCTATTCAGTTATCACTTTATGGTCAAAAAGTTTCAGAGTTCATAACAAAAACAAAATATGTTTTTCATCTCATCGACACTAAAGCATAAATGAGGAGAAAAATAAACCAGAGTATGATA